CAATCATCTCAAGGTCCCACTAAGATATAAGACTGAGTACATCTGAGCAGGCTGTTAGATCCAACAGTGCCTGACCTAATCCTCCAAGCATTGCACCGCGGCCCTCAGGGACACTCAAATTCCACGTTTCAGACCATAACTTTTTGGCCAAGGTGATAAGCCTTACGCTCCCTTAAGCATTGAGCACCTTCGCAGATGAGGTTCGAATCTGGGGCCTTGAAACTCGAGGCTAGGATGACGATGGCCCTGTGTGATTTGTGGTTCTTCACTGCCCTGAAAACACCTTGTCGAGCTGTTGTTGTTGTTAAAGATTCGCTACTTGGAACAAAACGTTCCAAGTAACACGGGCTATGGCGAGCCCGTAGTACCTTTTGTGGAGTTGAATTCTTCCCCACCCTTGACCTGGGGCCAGATTCACGAAGTAGTTACGCAAGCACTTACGAACCTGTACATCTTTTCTCAATCTTTGGCGGCTTTGTTTACATTTATTAAACAGTTAATGAGCTCCGAAGCACCAGGAGGCTGTTTATAACAATAACAACAGTTGATTGGCAAGTTTTCATGCTTGTAAACTGTTTAATAAATGTAACCAAAGCCGTCAAAGATTGAGAAAAGATGTACAGGTTCGTAAGTGCTTGCGTAACTCCTTCGTGAATCTGGCCGCTGAAGCATATACTTCATGATTAGGGTTTCACCTCTCTCGCCATGAAAAACACATTATAAGCTAGGTTTCCTCGGTTCTCTGACCCGAAAACACCCCTCTGGAAGGGTGAAATCTTCCCTCGTCTGCCCTGAAAACAAACATTAGGGCAGGAATGGGTAGGGGGGTGGTTCTTTCTCTCCCTTATCACAAAAACGGCAGAGCTCGTACCTGGGAACATCGTGGTGAAGGATCATTAGCGTGACCACTTCTCGTCTCTGGCTGCCTAGCACTCCATTGTTGTGTTCAAGAGTAGTGTGATGAAAAGTAATGCGGTTTGTGGTAATATTGACAATGGTTATGACGACCTAGATTAAAGCAATAATGTATAAGATTCTCAAACTTACATTTGATGTTATGATATTCACCATAAGCCAGTTGAAGTAAATATCAACTTATACGAATATAATAATTTTCATTATATATTTTAAGTACGCAGTACTTTTATATATGTACACTACAGTGTATTTGACTAATAACACTGAAAAGTATACTATGTTGTCAGTTAAATTAATACTGATGCTACTTAAATTTCCAGGATAATTTTCCAAACAAAATTACCTACTGTTCGTCAGTAAACAAATAGTTACTTTAATAACCCTCCAGAGGCTGATAAACGTTAAGCCTAAACCAATTGTGTAAAAAACGTCCATAACAGCCAATATTAATCTATGAAAACATACATAAAAGCCTTGCATAACATAACATACCTTGGGTAACATTGAATACCTTGAGAAGAAGATTCTAATCATGATAATCTCAGACCAGTCAGATGATTCAGATGTGAACATAATCCCTTCCTCAGAGCACATCCAGCCCGTCCTTCTGTAAAGTTCCCTTATCTTGAAGTTATCTTGAGATGATTTCGGGGCTTTAGTGTCCCTGGTCCTCGACCAGGCCTCCACCCCCAGGTACCTATTTTACTGCTAGGTAACAGGGGCATAGGGTGAAAGAAACTCTGCCCATTGTTTCTCGCCGGCGGCTGGGATCGAACCCAGGACCACAGGATCATAAGTCCAGCGTGCTGTCCGCTCGGCCGACCGGTTCCCCTACGTCAAGAATCTGTCGTATTAAAGTGCCTTTATTCTAACCTACCAGAGGACCCAGAACAGAAAACGGGACAGTACTTCAATTTCGCCAGCCGCTTCCCATTTTCTACTAGGATGAGGCTTGGTCTTAGGTAGGGTATACGTACTAAATGCAACGTTCTATTAGGAGACCGGGTTGGCACATAACCCACCCTAACAGCCTTGTTTGGAGCTGAGGTTAAGCTGTTCCCTAACCTCTGGAAAGTTACTAACAGCCTATTGGCCAACTAGCAAAATGTTGATGAACTAACAAAGTATACTTTAGTTCTAAACATAATCCAAGACTTCAGTAAACTTTGTGTATATACACAGATAAGCGAGGTATACATCGATTGATACACCCTGTATGGTCTGCCAGACTAAACATGAGGAACAGAAAAAAAGTGAAAATAAGTTGGAACAGGGGCCTGACAGCTAAGTGGACAACGCTCGGCATTCGTAATCCTAAGGTTCCGGGTCTGATCCCCGGAGGAGGTGGAAACAAATGGGCAGTTTCTTTCACCGTGATGCCCCTATTCACCTAAGTAAATGGGTACCTGGGAGTTAGACAGCTGCTACGGGCTGCTTCCTGGGGGTGTGTAACAAAAAGGAGGCCTGGTCGAGGACCGGGCCGCGGGGACACAAAGCCCCGAAATCATCGCAAGATAACCGTGATGAGGATTCGAACCTGTGCTTTATGTATTATCAAACACACGCCTTAAGGTCCTATGTTGTTGTTAAGATTTGCTATCTGCAACACAAGGTTCCAAGAAGCACGGGATATGGTGAGCCCGCAGTGGACTTATTAGGTCCTAGGCCACAAGTTAAAAAAGGATTGCAATCTGGGATTCTACTAAATTCACACAATGAATGCAATGTAGAACAGAATACCTATATCTTGAATAATCGGGACAGTAGGAGCTGTAGAAGATTAGATTTTAAAATAGAATTAAGTGTAGAAATATAAAAAAGTCTATTACAATAATAGTTTTATTATACAACCCAACAATCGTATTCACATAAATGGATCCACATGCCCAGAAGAGGACATTCTTGTGGCGAGTTTACGTGTGTGGGGAACAGGTGGGCATTTTCAATTAAGTGTGGCGAAGGAATGTTGATATTATCACTAAGAATTGGTCAACAAGGTATTGGGGGGGCAGCCTTAATGACCCCGTATAGGTTACAAGCCTTAACTAGGGCCAATAGAAAACGTTATCAATGATCTTTTCACTGCAACACTTGCAAACTATATTTTTTGGGGTTAGGAGGAAATTTACAATTATTACCAAATAATACCACAGGAAAGTATATAGATATTTATTGACAACACAAGAATTTTTTTTATTAATGAGATTAATGGCTTTCTTATTTTAACTTTTAATTTGTTCTAAGTTCGAAACAAATTTTGTGAAATAGGAAAAGGTAATAAAAAGCGTCCTAGCCATCTTTGTCAGGGGTGTCGAATGGTTCCTTTAGCCTAGTAGCCTTCGTCCACGACTTACATCCTAGGGGACCCGAGTTCAATCCGCGAGCAGGACAGACACATGGCCATTTGAACTCTCTGTGAAGAACTCTCCATGAAGAACTCCCCTTGAAGAATTTTCTATGAAGAACTCTCCATGAAGAACTCCCCTTGAAGAACTTTCTATGAAGAACTCTCCATGAAGAACTCCCCTTGAAGAACTTTCTATGAAGAACTCTCCATGAAGAACTCCCCTTGAAGAACTTTCTATGAAGAACTCTCCATGAAGAACTCGCCATGAAGAACTCTCTCGACACCAACTATCAACACTTTCAATGCGAGGAATGTAACATATGACTCTATATACAGACCCATTCATGAACGACCAACCCACTAATGCACTCATTATATCTGTCTATGCACAAACAGCTCCTCAAAACTGAAGTTCACATCTCGTCACACAGCTAGACCATCACGTGAGAGATACTAACCAGGAAAACCTAAATATTCGGCAAATGACAATTAGAGAGGTGGACATAGCAGAAGTCATTTACCCTAAGGAACACCGTGCAATAACCCTTACGTCACCCTTGCTCCAGCACAGACGAGAGAGATCTGCAAGTTAATGCACCAAATGTTCCTTGAGACAATTCCGAAGATCAAAGTATACAATGTTCCCAAGTGTGTATATCTGATGTATATATATCTGATATATCTATATATCTGATGTATATATGTGTGTGTATATGTGTGTGTATATCTGATGTATATATGAGTGTGTATATGTGTTCTGTGAGTATTCGATGTATGAGAATATAGGGGAGAGAGAGGGAAGATGGATAGATATATATAGGATTACACACAGAAATCACAATTGCGTGATGTATCAAATGAACAAATCCACAAGGGCCGTGACAAGGATTCGAACCTGCGTCTGAGAGCATCCCAGACGCTGAATCGACTGAGCTACGACAGGGTTAAAAGGAGTTGAAACCGAAGTTCTACTGAACTTATTGGATCCTGTAGCCTCTCCGAGGCACAAACCAGGGTTTTACAGGATCCAGTAAGTTCAGTAGAACTTCGGTTTCAACTCCTTTTGACCATGTCGTAGCTCAGTCGATTAAGGCAGCGTCTGGGATGCTCTCAGACGCAGGTTCGAATCCTTGTCACGGCCCTTGTGGATTTGTTCATATATAGGATTATTGAGAGGAAGACGAGTTTGATAAAGAGTTGTAAAACAGATGAAGGGATGGTAGGATAGGGATTATCAGGAGAAAGCGCCAAGACACCACTGCTATAAAGCACTGGGAAGGGGTCAGGATAAGGATTTGTGATGGGACGGAAGAAAAAGGAATGGTGCCCAACCACTTGTGGGACGGTTGGTGAAGGAGTGAGTGCAACAAGCAGAGGTGGTCAAGATTTCTTGGAAATCTGGAAAAGGAGAACCATGGTGGTAGTGTTTGAATAGTGAGAGCTGGAACGGATGGGAGGGAAGGGGGGGGGGGTGATGGGGAGGAGCCATGGAGGGATGGGAAGGCAGTGCTGGTGGATCCTTTCCTGCAATATGGAAAAGAAAGGTCAACAAAAATCATTGTGATATTTATATATATAGCTCCTGATGTGAAATATAACCGGCTGTGCCCGGGTCTTTCTCCCTCTGTGCATCTTTGTATCACCGTATCCTTCCTCCCTTCTCCTCCTCCCCCCTCCCAAGCGCCATATATCAACGGTTCATTAACTGCCATATCTCTCTGTCCCCTGCCTCCAGGGCGTGACGGACCCCAGGTGCCAGGCGCCATATGGCAACTTTCCGGACGCCAGCCGCTGCGACGGGTACATTTCCTGTTGGGGTGGACGAGGCTTCTCCCAGCGGTGTGGCACTGGCCTCGTCTTCAACCCTGTCACCAAACTCTGCCAAGCTGGCACCAGTTGTCCAGGTGAGTGGTGCCTCATAGGTACGTGGTGAGGTGTGTGGTGAGGTATAAAACATTATCTGGTTAGGCTACCTTTTCTTTCAGGGATTTTGTTGGCTTTTGTTTTGGTCTTGTGTTGATGTGAGGGCGGCCATCTTTGTTTGGTTTTGGCGGGAAATGTGTCTTGGGTGATTTTTTTTTTTTTTTAGCATTTATTGTGTATTGAAAAGGAAGGAGATGGAGAGGGAGGGAGGGAGAGGAAGGGAGAGAAAGGGATGGGGAGGGAGGGAGAGGGAGGGAGGGAGAGGAAGGAGAGAAAGGGATGGGGAGGGAGGGAGAGGGAGGGAGACAGGTTGAGAAATACATCCTTCTACTCTTCTCTTCCTCTTCCTGTTTCATCTCTCCTTTTCCTTCCTGATGTGTGAGCCTGTGGCGAGAATCACACCCTCCCCTCCCCCTCTCTCTGTCTCTGTCTCTGTCTGTCTGTCTGTCTGTCTGTCTGTCTGTCTGTCTGTCTGTCTGTCTGTCTGTCTGTCTGTCTGTCTGTCTGTCTGTCTGTCTCTCTCTCTCTCTCTCTCTCTCTCTCTCTCTCTCTCTCTCTCTCTCTCTCTCTCTCTCTCTCTCTCTCTCTCTCTCTCTCTCTCTCTCTCTCTCTTTCCTTCTCTCCACTGTCCCCGTTGAGGCCACTAGAGAGATGATGGCCTTCAGGTAAATTCAGGTAAATATGCACACACACAATACATGTGTAATTGTTCCACAACATCAACAAAAACAACAAAGACAGAGGGCAGGGAGTCTGGAGCAAGTACAGCCACTGGGGGGAGGGAGGGTATAGGGGGGTGACACAGACAGCCTGGGGGGACACAGACAGCTGGGGGGGGGGGGGGGGAAACAGACAGCCTGAGGAAGGGTTAAGAGGGGCCTGTCACCCCTTGTCGTGACCAGCTCCTCAAGGTTGTACATAATAGTGGTAGCAAGCCATGAACCTTCGACACACACATCAACCTCGTCCCAGAGTTACGAGGGATGGGGTATGAAGAGCGTCCGAAGGAACTGGACCTGACGACGCTAGAAAAAAGAATAGAATATGATAGAAACATATAAAATACTGAGGGGGATTGACAGAGTGGACATAGACGAAATGTTCACACGGAATAGTAACAGAACGAGGGGACATGGATGGAAGCTGGAAACTCAGATGAGTCACAGAGATGTTAGGAAGTTCTCTTTTAGCGTGAGAGTAGTGTGAAAATGGAATGGACTTAAGGAACAGGTTGTGGAAGCAAACTCTATTAATAATTTTAAATCTAGATAGGGAAATGGGACAGGAGTCATTGCTGTAAACAACCGATGGCTGGAAAGGCGGGATCCAAGAGTCAATGCTCGATCCTGCAGGAACAAATAGGTGAGCACACTTGGTGAACATAATAATTACGAAATATTGGAAATTTGATGCCAAAATAAACACGAAAACTGCGTTACGCACTTGTAAGATAATAAAGGACACTGGAGAACCATGATTCACGGTGTAATGTTTTAAACGAAAGAGTTATCGAAGCTAACTTTAAAAATTTCCCACAAAATGTGCGAAAGGCGAGGCCAGGCGCTACAACCCGTTCTCACTGTCTGGAAGGCATCCAATTTAAAGTAATTTTTACTGACTTAAATGTACACAATTCAATTTTAAACTGAAAAGATAAAAATTTTATTTTTCAATTGGTTACTAATAATTTAAAGTACGCAGTCAGTTTTGTATAAGTGTTTGTTCCGTGATAGTTGTTATATGGCTTAACGGCACTACGGGCTCACCATAGCCCGTGCTACTTGGAAATTTGTTCCAGGTAGCGAATCTTTAACAACATAGTTGTTATGCGATATACACAAAGTTCACTTGAATAGTGGACTATATACATTCTTCAAGTAGGCTTGATAGTGGGTCAGTAAGCGATTGTGGTGTCTTTAGTAACCCTCCAGAGGTTGATAGGTCTTAATAACCCTCCAGAGGTTGATAGGTCTTAATAACCCTCCAGAGGTTGATAGGTCTTAATAACCCTCCAGAGGTTGATAGGTCTTAATAACCCTCCAGAGGTTGATAGGTCTTAATAACCCTCCAGAGGTTGATAGGCCTTAATAACCCTCCAGAGGTTGATAGGTCTTAATAACCCTCCAGAGGTTGATAAGCCTTAATAACCCTCAAGAGGTTAATAGACCTTAATACCCCTCCAGAGGTTGATAGGCCTTAATAACCCTCCAGAGGCTGATAGCCCTTAATAACCCTCCAGAGGTTGATAGGCCTTAATAACTCTCCAGAGGTTGATAGGCCATAACCCTCCAGAGGTTAATAGACCTTAATACCCCTCCAGAGGTTGATAGGTCTTAATAACCCTCCAGAGGTTGATAAGTCTTAATAACCCTCCAGAGGTTGATAGGCCTTAATAACCCTCCAGAGGTTGATAAGCCTTAATAACCCTCCAGAGGTTAATAAGTCTTAATAACCCTCCAGAGGTTGATAGGCCTTAATAACCCTCCAGAGGTTGATAGGCCTTAATAACCCTCCAGAGGTTGATAGGCCTTAATAACCCTCCAGAGGTTGATAAGCCTTAATAACCCTCCAGAGGTTGATAGGTCTTAATAACCCTCCAGAGGTTGATAGGCCTTAATAACCCTCCAGAGGTTGATGGCTTTAATAACCCTCCAGAGGTTGATAGGCCTTAATAACCCTCCAGAGGTTGATAGGTTTTAATAACCCTCCAGAGGTTGATAGGCCCTAATAACCCTCCAGAGGTTGATAGGCCTTAATAACCCTCCAGAGGTTAATAGGCCTTAATAACCCTCCAGAGGTTGATAGGCCTTGTAACACTGTAAAAGTGTTTGGGTTAGTTTATTTAAAATATATATAGAATATGAGTCACAGACAGGGATTTGGAAAGGCGCCAGTTGTCTGCCTGAGATCTCACACCTCAAAGCGTTAATGACCTCAAGTGACCTGAGGTCAGATCATGAGAATTTCACCTTGCTTCCGCTAAGCTCTTAATTGTAGGCTGGTAGCCTTCAAACAAGCCGACGTTTAAGGAGTGGCTTGGTAGTGCCGGAGGCTATCTACTTGTGGGCGGAGTTAGCTACTAGGTTCCCCAATATAAACTCGGAGAGCTATCCAGCAGAAAGCATTAACAGACAGAGCAGCAGACGAGCCAGGAGAGCAGAGAGAAGACAGCCCTATCAGGGAGGCTGTCGGCCGGCAGGGCGGGAGTCTCTGTCAACTACAGACCCCCCCCCCTCTCTATCCAGCTATAGGCAGAGACACTTGGTGAGTTGAGCATTAAGGTGACTTGGTCGTGTTTACATATGTTGTGTGATGATCAGGGGCAGTCAAGTTGTAGGGTTCTCGAATTCTTGGATGATGACTCTCTTTAACATTTTAATTGGATTGCTTATATTATGATACTTAGTATGTGAAATACATGAACTTATTATTTAAATCGTCTTTGTTCCCTAGAGCTTTGAGTTGAGGTGAGAAAGCCTCGGTGGTTACTAGATTCAAGATATTAATGAGTACTTGTTTGGAGTTGATACATGGTACAGAGGGAACATACTAATAATGAACTCATGATAACATCCTTTGAGAATTTTGTGATACAGGCAAGTTCCATTCCTTGTCTTGTATGTAATGATCATGAATGGATGGTGGCAGCATTTCGTCTTCTACTATCTACTCTTCTACTACTACCTATCTATTCCTCTCCCTCCACCCCTCTCTAAACTCTCACTTTCAACTAATGACCCTCCTCGCCCCTCCCACCTCTCTCCCTCTCACCCCAAACCCTCACTAATTACTTCACTATTCATTTCTTTCCTTTCGTTTTCTCTTTTACGTTTGTGGCAATGATTCTGTATTCTAGAGTTCTCTCTAGAGTTTCGGGTAGGTGATCAAGTGACGGCGCCTTGTAGTCTTAGCACCTAGGTAGTCGAATACCTAGGTTACAAGGTGTTGAACGAGAGAGGCTGCCTTAGGAACTCTGGGAGTGCTCTAGAATAGTTAGCTAACTGGGGACGGGATAACGGACTAGAGAGAGCTGTTTCCCCCGGCCTCGTTAGTTAACTGGGGGGTGGAATAATGGACAAGATAGAGCCATTTCCCCCACCCCCCGTTACAATGTTGGCAGCGGTGTTGAACAATGTTGTAGGTAGTTGGTGTTCTTTTAACATTGTTCAGTCCCACGTGTCTTTTGCCGCTCAGGCGCTATCAGGGAGATCTTGACAGGTGTTTTACTTTCGCGATTTAGCGAGTTTTCAGGTTGGGAGATAGGGATTCTCTGGTGTTGTGGTTTAGTGATTTTGTGAGTTTTGTGGTGTTCAGGGAATGTTCACCAGAACTTGCGTGTGTAGTGATTAATATTAGTGATAAGATTTGGCGATTTGGGAACCTAGCGGTTGGTGGGTAGTGCAGGTCAGCTGAGTGTGACAGGTGACCTCGCATGTCCCACGGGGACACCCAGCCACCGCTGGTCTCCAGGTCAGTGGGGAGTGGCAGGTGTAGTTTTTAAATAGTTTAAGTAGTGGTTCTGCTCAGATTATTGCGATCGACTGTTTTACTCCATTTGAACGCAATAACCCGAGGTGTACTGGTATTGTACAGCATGCTAGTGTGGACTAGTGTGTCAGTTGACTCACGTTGGGGACGCTCGACGTTAGATAGTCTGGTCACAGGGGTGGCAACAGTTGGGAGTTGTTGACCGGCGGAGAAGCTAGGAAAACACTCTGGGTCACGTAGGTGGCTGTAGGTTAAGGGTGGGAGTAATGGATATTTAAGTACGTAAGATTAGGAACGGTATAGTTAAGTTAGGCTAGAGTTTTGTCTATTAGTTTTGATTTTTTTGTGTGACAAGTTAAAAGTAGTGATGACCTTATTCTCTCTTCTCTAACTTTCCTCTGTTACTGTTTTATGTTCCACCAAGTCAATATCATTCAGAGTTAATTGAATTATTAAAAATTGAAGAGTAGTTGTTGCCAGGAGGAGAGCGTTA